CGGAGTCAAATTGCGTAAGCACTGGGGTCGAGATTGGAGTTTCCAGAAGTGTGAATCAGATCAAAAGATCTAGCCTCTACTGATTCGAATATTTAGAAAGTCGGTGAGGAAATAAGCAAGCGAGTAGTTCTTTCGGCGTTTTATCAATGACAATACGAATTGCTTGAAACTCTTTGAGGCTGTGCAAGGCTCGATGAGAGCACGAGAAAGACAAAGGCGCAACAGTAAAGAAAAACACTTAGTAGGTTAATTAAATTTTCTTTTTGTCTTTGTTTATTTTCAAGAAAAGAGGACGACAGTCTTCAATTAGAAAGTAGTCGTATTTAAGGCTGAGCACTCATTTTATTAACAAAAGAATACATTTTTCTGAATTTGTTTAAGGTCTGTCAATTCAAGTTTTAAAAGTGAATGTAAACAAGCACGACTGTACAAAAAGATATATTTGTCACTTTTTAATAGGTGATCACTATCAGTATACATTGACCTATACTGTCCCTGTGGGTTATTTTTTCTTTTAATACTTTTTTTTTCTTCCTTTTGTTTTTATCATTGACGTAGTTGTTTTAACACTGTTTGTTTGACACTCTAAAAACATATAATGATTATGGTAATCAGGAGGCTTCATATGCACGTACTTGCCCCCCGGATTCTCCTTGTTGTTCAGCACTATAAGGGGGAGGCGGTTCATCCTCTCTTATCATGGCGGGATTGTACGATGCAGACATCTCCGATTGATGCTGTTCATATTCAGGTGGGGGGAAGCAAGAATCCTCTGGTTGGTACGGCCGTGGCGCTTGGTAATTTTGGTAAACCTGTGCTTGTGCTTCATTATTCGTTAATACCTGTGTTTGTCGTGCTCGATGAATCCTTTGCCTCCGGTGTCGAAAAATATTGGATACGATAACAACAGCTATAAAAATACAAACAGCAACTGGTGTAAAAATGGTGACTAACTTTTTCTCACAAAAGCTTTCCTCGCTGCATCTATGATCGCAACAATAATATTTTTTGGTGGCTGTAGAAGGACAATTGGTATCCTTCCGGCAGGAAATCTTTGACAGGTCCTCACATCCATCGTAAAATACGCATTTGCCGTTTTTCATACAGCATTCTTCACCTGGACCACAATCAGAGTTTTTCTTACAGCTTTGCCCCGAACAACTCCATCCCTTCACACACTTGTTGTTGCAGCAAAACTCGCCGTTTCCGCATTTCGGATAGCTAATGCTACAACTGAGTCCCACACAACTTGGTCCCCGAACGCAAGTATTGGCACAACATATCTGTCCGTGAGGGCATTCCGTCGTATTCTCACATTTTTTCCCTAAACAGTTTGACGCATTCACGCATGTAAAGTTACAACAATATTTACTCGTAGAACACTGTCCATCGTTTTGACAAGGGCATCCTACAGTACTAGATCTATCCACACATTTAGAACTGCAACAAATTTCACCCTCAGAACAATGCTCATCGTAATGACAAAACTGTCCTACGCAGTTTGGTCCTTCAACGCAAACATCAAAACAACAGACTTGACTCGCGGTGCAGTTTGTGCACAGATTTGTTTCACTTACAACAAATATGGACGAAGCAATGATCGTCAGTGATAACAAGACTTTTCCTTGAGGAAAAGGAAAACTGCTCAAGACTGTCACCTCAGCCATTTTTGCTCTGATATTCAGACAACCTTGCCTAATTAAGCTGAATATTTCAAAATTGATATTTCACTTCAAGGATGCGGAAAAAGTAAAAACAGTGTCAATTTGGTTTCCAGTGCCCCGGCAGTCTTCTTATGTGTTCACGTGGTCTTGAGCGGATCAGCAAGAGAGGCCCAGCTGTTTACATGACTTATCCCAAAGAGATCCTAGAATTAAGTTAGATCACCCTAAAGCCGGTTTTACATGGCCTTAGCGCTGGGAGGTTCTTGCTGATCATTCTAGCTGGATTCTAGCAACGTGTTAACTGCCTGAGGAAGATTCTCCTAGTACAAATTCAAATATTACATCGGCGGATAAACGAGATGCGGTTGAGTTCCGAACTAGACTTCGAGACCTATCTAAAGACAACGCAAAACCCAGCACACTGCCGCGGTTTCCATGAAGAACAAGCGTTGTTCGGCCCTCTCAATGGTTTATATGCTAGTGCTAAGAACTTCCTCCTGTGAAAAACGTTTACCGAAGTCATAAACAACCGACGTTATCCTGTAGTTTGCCTCAAATGTAAGGTCCAATGCACTTTATATTGACTTCATTCATGCAAATTTAACTCTCATCACTCATTTCGGAATGAATTCAGTGCCCACGGGCCATATGTAATAAAAGTGTGCTAACATAAGAAGACGATGAATACTCCGATGATGTTGATGTAAGTACAGACTAACCACCCTATAGCATAAGTTATTTTTTAACATTTGTTAAAGCCACGAATATGTGGCCTTTTTTGTGAATAAATTAGTCTAGTCCTCCTTCGGGTGGCTACCTAAGCAGAACCAAATTTTTTCGGATTCCACTTAATAACATTCACATCTATTTTAGGTACAGTAGAACCTCGATATAATGATCATATTCTAAACAAGTAGGAATCTGGGTCCGATTCGCGACCACTAAGCTTCCTGGGATCGTTTGGAGGTACAACACACCGTGATAGTACCCGGAGATGGCGCAATCTAAGTGTTGTGTTCCGAACTGCAGTAATAGTAACAAAAAAGGAACCTAACCGTCACTATCATGCGATAACATCAGTGAATCCTAGAGATCCTTATGTAAAAAAGCATAGATTAGCTCAGCTCACTTCGAAGGAGGAATACCGTAAGAACAAATTGATAAGTGCCAGGGCCAAGAAGGTATTTTTAGAGGTGTTAACATAAGCTAACAAACACCGAATGATCATGCTTGTAGCAAGGGGCCAGAGGTACCCCTCAAAGAAGGACAGTGAAGGGTGGGTGGAGTGGTGGTGGGTAAGAACTCCCCTCCGGCCCCACTCTCATTATGGCTGTGCGCATGCTCCTAGCTCTCCGCCAAGAGTTTCCTGTCCAGAAGAGTGAATCAGATCGCAACTCTCTACTAATTCGAATATTTAGAAAGTCGGTGAGGAAATCAGAAAGCGAGTAGTTCTTTCAGCGTTTTATCAATGACACTGTACGAATTGCTTGAAGCTCTACGAGGTAGTGCAAGGCTCTATGAGAGCACGAGAACAAAGGAAAAGAGTATGGAAAAAGGACAAGTAGATTAAATTTTATTTTCATCTTTATTTATTTCGTGAAAAAGAGGACGACAGTCTTCGTGTAGAAAGTAATCGTCCGAGCACTCATTTTGACTCCTTAATAAGAGAATACATTTTTTCTCGGAATGTGTTTAAGGTGTCTAGGTTTAAAAGTTAATGTAAACAGGCACGACTGTATAAAAATATTTGTCATTTTAGGTGATCACTACCCTCGTTGCAGATTTTTTTCTTTAACATTGCTTTTTATTTAGTTTTTTATCATTGACGTAGTTGTTTTAACACTGGTTGTTGGAAAAACTGAAAAAATATAAATCAGGTGGCTTCAGATGCATATAACTGCCCCCCGGATTCTCCTTGTTGTTCAGCACTATAAGGGGGAGGCGGATCATCCTCTCTTATCATTTCAGGGTAGAACGATGCAGACGTCCCAGATTGATGCTCTTCATATTCAGGTGGGGGGTAGTAAGACTCCTCTGGCTGGTACGGCGGTGGCGCTTGGTAATTTTGGTAAGCCTGTGCTTCATTATCCGTTAATATCTGTGTTTGTCGTGCTCGATGAATCCTTTTCCTCCGGTATCGAAAAATAAAGGCTACGATAACAACAACTATAAAAATACAAAGAGCAATTGTTGTAAAAATGGTGACTGTCTTTTTCTGAGCGGTGAAACAGTAGCTGTCATTGCTGCATGTACCATCGCAACAATATTTTTTGGTGGCTGAAAAAGCACACTCCTCATCCGTTCCGCATGGAATCTCTGAAAACCCCTCACATTTGTATGATACGCATTTTCCGTTACAGCATTGTTCACTTGAACCACAATCGGAGTTTTTCCCACAGCTTTGCCCGAGACAATGCGATCCCTTCACACATTTGTTGTTGCAGCAATTCTCGCCGTTTGAGCATTTCGGATTGCCGATGTTACAACTGAGTCCCACACAACTTTGTCCCTCAACGCAAGCATTGGCACAACAAGACTCACCAGATGAGCATTGTCGATGATCCAAGCAAAAGCATCCCATAGTACTTGACGCGTTACTGCATACACTGCCACAACATCTTTCTCCGCGACGGCATTCCAGCGAATTCTCACATTTTTTCCCTAAACAGTTTGAAGCATCAGTCACACATTTGAAGTTACAACAATGTTGACTCGTAGAACACTGTCCATCGTTTTGACAAGGGCATCCTATAGGATTATATCCGTCCACACACTTAGAACTACAACAAATTTCGCCGCCAGAACAATGCTCGTCGTAATGACAATACTGTCCTAAGCAGTTTGCTCCTTCAATACAAACATCAAAACAACAGGCTTGACTCGCTGTACAGTTTGTGCACAAACTTGTAACACTCACAGCTAAGAGGGACGAACTAATGATTATCAGAGATACCAGGACTTTTCCTTGATGAAAAGCAAAGTTGTTCAAGACTGTTACTTTAGCCATTTTCGCTCTGTTATTCAGATAACGTGGCCGAATCAAGCTGAATATTGCAAAATTGATATTTCACTTCAAGGATGAAAAAGCAGAGAATTTTGCAGTGTCAATGTGGTTTCCAGTGCCCTATCCTCTTATGCGTTCAGGTGGTATTAACAAAACTATGAGACCCGGCTGTTTAATTACATAACCTCAGGGAAATCCTAGAATTAAGTTTAGATCATCCTAAACCCGGTTTTACGTGGCCCTAGCGCTGGGAGGTTCTCGCTGATCAGTCACTGATTCAAGGTGGAACCTAGCGGCACGTTAACTGCATGTCTCGAGTCCTGAGGAAGATTCTAGCACGAATTGAAATGTTCGATCGGCTGGTAAACGAGATGCGATTGAGGCCTACCTAAAAGTAATAAAAAGCCCACTTAACACTTCACTGCGTTTCTATGTAAACCAAGTGTTGATCGGTCGTCTATGGTTTATATACTAGTGCTAAGAACTCCATCCTTACTTGTGAATAGCCTTTACCGAAGTCCTAAACAAGTGACGTAATTCTGTAGTTTGCCTCAAACGTACGGTCCAAGACACTGATATTGACTCAATGCAAATTTAACTCCCGTAGTGTAATTATTTATATCGGAATGAATTTAGTGCCCTCGGGCCAATTACGTAATGAAGTCTGCTAACAGAAGGAGACGATGAATGCTCCGATGATTCATGTAGGAACAGACTAAGCACCTTATAGCATAAGTTTTTTATGAGATTTGTTAAACCCACGAATATGTGGCCTTTTTTTATGAATGAATTAGTTATTCCTCCGGGTCTTATTTGGCTACCTAAGTAGGAAGACCTTAGACCCGGGGGGGGGTACTCCCATACATTACCTATACGGGTATGTGCCGCCCAACGGGGTCGTGATTTTGAAGCTCCTGATTTAGAACGGGATATCCATTTCAGAGGCGTTTTCTAGAACGGGGTATAATATTTCAAACGCACGAAAGCTCCAATTTTGTAAGCAGCCATTTGAAATTATTCAAGGACAGATTGCTTTTAAAAATATCGTTCAATGCATTAACAAGCAAACTTTTGTACTCTTATTGCACCCTTGAACGGAGTATTAAAAATTGGCCCATTTCTAGAACGGGGTATCAGTTTTAGGGCGAATTCTAGAACGGGGTATAAAAAATTGGCCCATTTCTTGAACGGGGTATCAATTTTAGGGGAATTTTTTTTTAGAACGGGGTGCCAATTTGGAGTCCCGGGCGGCACATACCTACCCAAAAAATACCCAAGTGCCCCCCCGGGACCTTAGATAACTGAGATAACAATGACCTCAAACAGGCTGGCGTCCAGCGGTTTTAGTGAAAACAAGGGTTCATGATCAGTCTCACGGGAGCATAAAAGCTGGTATAGGTCATTGTTATTTATGGATTTTCACTTAAGCAGGGCCAAAATCATACCCACATATTCTTTGTTAAGGGGTTGGTAACGATCTCACTCGAGCTCACATGTACAGAGAAGACTGATACAGTTGTCCAGCAGGAGTCCAGCTGTTCTCCGGATTCCACTTTATAACATTCAAATCAATTTTAGGCACAGTAGAGCCTCGATATAACGAAAGGCCAAGGGACTTGCAAAATATGCTCGTTATAACGAGATTTCGTTATATCGAGGTTATTTTTCATATATTTCACTATTACTGAGGCGGACAATATTCAGGGGCACCCAACGAGAATATAGCTTAAAACCACTTAAACATAGCATTGTTAAACGTATTTTAGTATTTAAACTGTAGATATAGGCATATTTTTATCCCCTAAAAATTTTTCATCTGTTCGGATTTCCTAGCTGAAAGTCTAGTGATCCGAAAATTATAGGGATCAAAACTTACCTGTTCGAAAATTCCAGCCAGAAAAAAGGCTCCCGAAAATTCTAGGTGACCTTTTTAGGGTAAAAATCCGTAAAAATAGGCAATTATACCATTTTTTAGATGTTCGAAAATCCTAGGAGAGGCAGGCAAGCAAGAAATTTTACAAAAAATGTTCCGAAAATTCTAGATATCAAATCGTCTTCCGAACAGATATTTTCCGAAAATTGTCGTTGGGTGCCCCTGAATATTGTTCGTTTATACCGAGGACCTCGTTATATATAGGTTGGTTACATATCGAAATTCCACTCGGCATAAGATGAAACATGACCGGGAGATCCGTATAAGGGATTTATTGCCCTATACAAACTACCACATGTCATTTTTAAATCTATTTTGGTAATACACACACACAAAAAAGAAAAAATTAAATGTTTTCCCCATAGGTAGAAGGCAGAAGTAAATGTTTCTGTCATAGATTAACCTCTTTGTGAATATTTTCAGATATCCTCGATGGCTGTACTTAATTTCAAAATCTTGCCCGTTTTCGACGTTCAACGATTAAAAACCATGGATTAACCCCTTTGGAAATATCCAAGCTGGCCGCACCCAATATGGAATGTAAATATCCCCTGTTTGTTTGTGGGCGTGTCTCGTACAGTTTCGGCACGGTGTGGTTTATTTTTGGAGCCACGATGATATAGTGAATTTTGATATTATTAATTTCGTGTTTTTGATGTTTTGTGTAGTTTGTTTAACTTAAATAATTTTGTTATCGCATTTATATTCGGTGTAGTTTTTTTTTTGTAGGTTTTTTATTGTTCGTATCTTTCTGCACTCCGTACGTAACGCCGTGCCAAGAACTTTGTTACGGAATCGTTGTTTCAATTTCCCGTCACTCCATTAGGCCTCTTGTTGCTACAACCAGTTGCAAAAAGACTTGAGAAATTGTACCTAATTTGGACGTCAAGGGTACTTATAAGGTCCGCGCCTTTCAGACCCCTTCCTCTCCCTTCTCAAAGTTGGTTACAATAGGAAATCATGCTGAAGTTTTCGAGGAACAACATTGAAAATAGGGGAGGGAGGGGGGAGTTATTTAACCGCTGAGATGTGTAATTTTAAGCGATGTTTAGTAATTAAAAAAGAGCATTTTTCTGGTCGAGTGTCTCAACATTTTTTTCAACTGGTTGTAGTTCAGTTGTATCATTTAAAGTTTTCTTTTTCTTCTATGTTAGTTAGTGGTTATATCCGGACTTTTTCCGTAAAGATATCTTGTTAGTGTAGTTTTTCTGTATTTTTGCTTGTTTTCATTTTTGGTTTGCTGTACCTTTTAAGGTAACTTAAAAGTTTCTTTTTTTGGCATAGATTTCAGTTCGCATTTATTAATTCCGTGTCTTCTTTTCCTTTGCTGAATTTTGTTCTAGTGAATAGTCACTAGTAAAGATTTATCTTTGACCTGTACGTAGAGTGTAATTTACAATACATTCAGGCGGGAATTTCCCAAATATACGCCCTGGCCTCAAATAAGGCAAATAAACGAACATTTATTCCACTTATTAACTGCAAAATATTTACAAATTACACAGTAATGCAGACAAGTACCAAATGGCTGACTTTTTCTACGGTTAATTTAATAGGTGAATATGGAAACGTTGCCCCCTTCAGATTTTGTAGTCATCTTAATTATCATGGAACTCTTATTTTAACAATTACAACGTTTTTGGAAAATTACTGTTCCGGGTGACATCGTCAATTACTAACTTTCCTAACCATTCGCCATTTTCACGTCTCCCGTAAAGCACCTTGTTTGCGCCCCCCTCCCCACCCCACCCCCACCAAATTTTGCTTAATCTTTGTTTTTCATTTCTCCCGGGTATTACAGCCGTCCCAAGAGAAATTGAAAACAAATGTCTATGCAAAACATGGGGGGCAAACAAGGTGTATTATGGGAGATGGGCAAATTGGGAATTGAATTTTGTCCACTTACTTATGCAGCCTTTTTCAAAATGGACATTATTAATTATCAATTAATATTTGTCACAAGTGAGGCAAACAAACAAAACACTAGCGCAGGGATGAAGACCTTGGTTTACAGTGAAAACGGCCAAGATCGAAGTATCAACAAAAGTGAAATAGCAAGGATCAAAATTTTTTCCTTTTCTTTGCTTTCGCCTGTGCTCCCGATTATCACAATAAATACTATCATAATAATAAGGGAAAAAAAACCCGATGCTTTAAATGCGCGTTCACACTTCGCAGCGCTTACTAAGGCCTCCCAGCGCTCGTTGAAACAAACAAAATTAATAAAAACACAAACAAAGTTAATAATTATAACGGAACCCTAATTAGCCCAAAACAAAAGGGGCTAAGACAACTAGAATTTCTTTTGAACTAGAGGTTTTTCACTAAGAGTGACGCGACACGAACAACGCTTTTGCGGGTGTAGTCAGTTTTTGAGCTTGTGAGGAATTACTCTTAGAACAGCAGCTAGCGCTCACTACCCTAAAATAATCAAACTGTGACTTTACTAATGAACTTTACCGGGCAAGTAAAATCCAGAGACAGAGGGATAAAATGCCAAATATGTTTGATGGAGCTGATGCCAGAGGCAATCTCTTTTCAAAGATTCTTATGAATGTAAAGTATTTTGAAGTTTAGAAAAAGAGATTCAGTGCTAGCTATGACAATGTTTCTTTAGCACTAATCAATATAGACTTGCCCACAAGTCGAGCTCAAAATTTTTCTCGAGGGCAAAGCGCGAGCTAGAAATTTTTTACATTAGCTAAAACAAGAAGCAAAAAGTCTACAATCAATAGGCCAAGAGACAAACGGGGTTGGGTGGGATTTGGGGACACAATGTTGGGGGTGGGCCGGGGACTTGGGCACACAATGTTGGGGGTGGGCCGGGGACTTGGGCACACAATGTTGGGGGTGGGCCGGGGACTTGGGCACACAATGTTGGGGGTGGGCCGGGGACTTGGGCACACAATGTTGGGGGTGGGCCGGGGACTTGGGCACACAATGTTGGGAATGGGCCGGGGACTTGGGGACACAATGTTGGGGATGGGCCGGGGACTTGGGGACAGAATGCCGGGGATAGGCCGGGGACTTGGGGACACAATACCGGGGATAGGCCGGGGACTTGGGGACACAATGTTGGGGATGGGCCGGGGACCTGGGGACAGAATGTTGGGGATAGGCCGGGGACTTGGGGACACAATGTTGGGGGTTGGTTACACAGGCTAGTGATTCGATTTAAAATCTCTGCAGCGCTTGGGCGATCTTCTGCTTGGTACTTCAGGGCATCCAGAGCTATCATCCTTACAAAGGGGGATCCTCTTGCTTTGAATGAGAATTGGGCTGTTATTGCTGGACCGCAATGATACATTGCTTCCCCAAGGCCAACAGGTTTGAATCCTAAAGGAACAAACGCACCATAATACTTTTTCTCGCTTGACTCAATGAAATCTCTTTCCAATATAGCGAAAATGAGAATTCCAAGAGAAAATACATCCGCTTTCTCGTTGTAGTGGCCACGAAAAACTTCGGGAGCCATCCAATAAAGACTACCAGCAAATGTCTTCATGTAGTGTTGGCCGTAGGTGGTCACCCAGCCATAAATGCTCGATGCAATGGGCTGTTTAAGTGAGATAAACTCTCGGGCTAACCCAAAATCGCCTACCTTTATATCATCACTCGCGGTCAGTAGCACATTTTCTGGCTTTAAGTCGCGGTGAACAACACCGCTTGCGTGGAGGAAGCTAAGAGCTGCTGCCATCTGAAGAATCCACTTGCATTCGACTTCTTCGGTGCTTGCTTGATTGAGGCGGTCGTTCAAGTTTCCGCCTGGGCAGTATTCGGTTAAAATTAACATTTCCGTGAGAGCCCCGGGCATGCGAGTGTCTTTGTAGCAACCTGCCTCAATGATTTGGATAATGTTCGGATCGGAAATTTTACGTAATATTTGAATTTCTCTTATTACATCGGATTCCCTGATTTCCGATAGTTCGCTACAAACCACAGTTTTTAACGCATATTCGTTTGAAGTTGCCACGTCCTTTACTTTGTAAACTTGGCCAAAAGCCCCAGCACCGATCGGTTGCTGCCTTTCCACTAATTTCTGTCCAACTTGATCATAAATCCGCGGCCTGGATGTTGGAAAGAGCGTGCCCATCATATTCTGTTCCTCCACTTCAGTTGTCACTTCTAGAAAGACAAATTGTTCGTTGCACAAGAGCGACTTCAAGGAAGACTTCCTTGTCAGTTTCTAAGGAAAGTTAAATTTAGGCTGAGGGGGTGGGGGTGGTGTGAGCATCCACAAGTCCCTATGTTACAAGTCCCTATGTCAAGTCTCATAGGGCGCGTTTCCGAGGAGGGGGGGGAATCCTAGTGCTAAGGTTACCCTAGTGCCAGAGTAACCCTGTTTGCCTTGTTTTAAAAAACACGTGGCGTAAAAAAAGAAGAAATGTGCGAGTGCTGGGGAGGTATGTAACCCTCTTCCTAGGGTAACCCAAGCACCAGGGTCATCGTCCCTACCTGTAAACAGGCCCCTAGAGGATACAGTGAAACCTTTATGAAGCGGACCCCAAGTAAGCGGACACCCTCTATTAAGCGGACACTAAGCCGGGTCCCAAAATTAACGTCTTATATTTTGCTTTATAACGAACCCCAATTCAGCGGACACCTCCATTAAGCGGACGCGGACGCATTATTGTCTTTGGCTAATTTTTATTGTTAAAAACCCCTATTAAGCGGACACCGGACTGAATTGACAGTCGGCAGTATTGGATTACGTCCTTGAAATACGTGCTGTAGTCTATTAATAGCTATAAATCGATACATTTAGCAAGAGCTGTCAATAAACTGTAGATTAGACCAATATCCGGCCGTATAATTGTCATCCGCGATCAAAGTTTACCTAAAAGTCTTCACAAATTTCAACACAGCTTCCTTAACAACAAGGAACTTTATCCCCGAACATAGCACAGGTGTCCCAAGCTCACGTTACGAGTGTGTTACGTAAATTAACTTTCTCACAAGAGAGTCGGTGTCGCGTTACAAGCAACCGTTGAGACTTTGTATGAGAAATAAAATACTGAGGTTTGCGAACGCTAAATAATCGTTATTGCCCCCGCAGGGATTTCGCCCAGAGTGCGAAATCCCGAGGAGGCACTCTAGTAACTCGCGCGTATATTAAGGAAAGTACTTACAGTTGAAATATACAGACATACAGTCAATAGACTGTTCACAGTCTTCTATTTTTCCTTAAGATCATCGAGATCGAGAGCTTTTCGTTACGGGCTGCCATCTTGCATGAGTGTCAAAACTACATAGGGGGCGGGGGCGGTTTGGGAGGAAGCGAGAAAAATAGAATTTTATTTTATTTTTCTCGTCCCCCCCACCCCCTCCGGCCACGAACTATAATCCCCGACGCCCGCCCCCTCGGTACATTTAAAAAGCAAGATAGCCGTGACGGTAAGACGCGGTATATCTAAAAGATCTCACGAAAAAATAGGGGACTGTGAACAGTCTATACAGTCAATATAGAAAAAATCTCGATTTGCTTGAACATGGGCCGCGAGGAATCGGTAAGTAATGATGACGTTTCTATTGTTTGCGCCCTCAAGTACGAAATGGTTAGGATGACGTAAAACACAAAAAATCCCGAAGGAACAGCTTACTATAGGTAGATTTTGACATTCTCTGGAGCAGTTGTTATGAAAGTTATGGACAAAAAGATACTCGTTAAGCGCAGATGAAGTTATAAGGTGCGTAGAACTGTGTATAGTTTAACACTAAGTGAGTTTGCCAGACACGAGTTCACAAATCTTTGATTGGTAACCTTGCCAGACACTCTTTCTCTCTCTTTGACCGGAATAAGACTCAGCCCCAAACAAGCAAGACGAGTCAACAACGGCTAGCTTATCACTAGCAGAACGATGGATGATTACAGAAATTCGCCGACCATTAAATTTTGTGCTGACTTATTCCCTGCTCACAGATGTCAGTTTAAAATAAGACTAGAATGCGCTAGCGTGAATTGATCAAACGTCCTTTTAATTTCTAAGGCTTACTTTCCGGCAAATAAAACGAGTTAAATGTAAAAATTAAATAGAAATGTCGAAAAATTAAACTTCTAATTAAATCTTTTCTTATGATTTAGAATAAACTATTCTCGAAACTGAGGATGTTTTGATCAAAGCTGTGTAAATCGAACCGAAACTGCGCATGGAACTTTGCGTTTATTTCCTGTATTTATCTCACCTATTGTATGGAATATGTGTGAACATCTTCATTGTGAATCGGTATGTTTCAAAGAGCTACACAAGGAGCAAGAATACTATTGACCGACAATATACAGAGCTGGGGCAGCTGTAGTCAGTGTAGTGTCAACTATTACTAGTTCTTACCTTTTTTTCTACAAAATGATAAATGAGACTTACCTTTGATGTACTCTTGTGTTTTTTGGTGTGAATTCATCGATTTAGTCGCTATTTTTTTTGGCTGTTATTGTTTGACCCCTGTCACTCTATTCAGTATTATGAAGAGAGTGACAGGGGTCGTATTAAGGGGGCCCGAACCTATTTACATGCGTGCTGGTTATGTTTTTCATTTGCGTTTTTCAGAATGAAAGATTCAACCGATTTCTATGATTTTTGGCATACCAAATAAATAATGATGGAAATTTAAGAAAATTTTATTTATTTTCTTGTAGATATAAAAACCTTTGAGGTATCAGCGTATCAGCATACCCATTTTTACGAAAAGTGTAAATAACTTCGAGGTCCCAAGACAGATTTTTCCCTAACTTCAGCAAATAAGCCTAGCCTCAGAGCTCTCTATAGCTAGTTTTACATCTGCAAGTTTGAAGGCAATCGTGACCGTAGAACTCGCTGCACAAAATGCTGGTCAACTTTAACCTTAAAATGATACGCTAACACATTTGTGAAAGTTGACGCTCGAACAGAGATAGGGTGCCGACAGACTACCTTCCATCTGAAAGGATATTCCTACCTAAAGCTTCCATTGCAAGAAACAGAGTAATCAGAAACCTACGGCGAAATGCTTTATAGATCTCAAGTCTAGCATTTAGTTTACGCTGGCCTCAGTAAACGAAACCATGTTTTGTGACACTTAGAACTTTTTCATGTCGACTGCCGGTCAAGGTTTTTAAAACACTAAATGACCGGTAGTCCTATATTCTCAATAAATTTGACAAATCGAAAAAATCCATCTAATCCAAACTATCACATGTCCATTAAGAAAAGTCAAGCGACCCTGAAACGCTTTCTAGATCTCAAGTTTAGCCTTTGGCTTACGCTGAGCTCAGAAAACGAAACCATGTTTCGTGACACTAAGAACTTTTTTCAGCTTTCTCTTTCCTCTTTCCTCTTTCCTCTTGTAGTGTTTTGACAATCTTGACCGGCAGTCGACCTAGAAAAAGTTCTAAGTGTCACAAAACATGGTTTCGTTTTCTGAGTCCAGCGGAACCAAACGCTAGACTTGAGTCTACAAAGCATCGCTTGACTTTTCTTAATCGACATGTGATAGTTTGGATTGCTTGGGATTCTTAGTTAAGTCAAATTTATTGAAAATACCGGACTGCCGGTCATTTAGTGTTTTGAAAACCTTGACCGGTTACCGGCCATATAGCCACAGCGATCAAAATAACTCATTTTTTCAGCGGTTTTCGACGGGTTTTGATGTTTTAACGACAAACACATCGCCTCTGAACGCTGTGCTTGGGACACCTGTGTACAGAGTAACCGTTGAGTGTTAATCGTTAACAAACATTAAATTGCGCATTTTTTACAAAGCTCTATTAAGTGGACACCCTCTATTAAAGCGGACACTTCGGAAGGTCCTGAAGGTGTCCGCTCAATAGAGCTTTCACTGTAATTGGTTTGCCACGTATTTATTTTTCTTGGAAGCTATGCAGGCCAAGTCGGAGGGTTTACAGAATCGCTAGTTTTAGCACCGAAAATAACAAACCTCACATTCAACTCCAAGGTACGCGATGCCGATATGAATTAGTTGCTGTGAGTTTGCATTAAAAGCATTTATCTATGCTGACAGGTACGCGATAAGCAATTTTTGATCGCCAACAGTCTGATTTTTCCTTTCATTGTGAATATCTGTAAAATAACTTACATTTTTTAGTCCGAAAATTATTCTTCGGTAGAAACCACTGGCCATAAAATATAACTTTACGAAACGAGATCTTTGTGAGGTGCTTATGGTGCGTTCACTTCAGCGTCTAAGCACCAATCTGATTCGTTAATTCTGTACGAGTTCAATGAAAGCCAAAAACGATAAACAGGAACAGAGGCGATGCGCTGTCGAAGAATAACTGAATATATATTGTCTTTATTTTTTTTACCTGTCTGTGGACTACATGCTTATTCAGACAGCTCCCTATCTCCGTTTTTCCTTTGTCGGAGGGGGGTGGGGGGGGGGAATTGCGGCTACAAGTAGGCTGTTCTCCTGCTGAGGGTACTCAGCGCCTGACAAAGCCCTCAGAATATCGGCGTAGGAGGCGAGTTTCTGAGATCGCGCCGTGGGCCAAATTCCATTCAATATACTACGGAAGCCGATAAGGGACAATCCCAAAATATTAACGAAATCCGAAAAAATGTTTTTAAAATCCGAAAAAAATATTTCAAATCGTAATGTCTTTTGGAAATCATCGTTGAAGAGTTTATCAAATCTGAAAAACTATTACAAATCCTAATAAAATTATTGAATCCACAAATATTATTTTGTAAATCCGAAATAAGTTTACAAATCCGAGAATTGTCGCTAAATCCTGAAAAATATTTTGCAAATCCAAAAAATTATTTTGTCACGTGTTACTTGCGCCAGCAGTCTGCTACCAACAGCGGTTTGCCCCATCCAAGATGGCGGAGTTTTGTTCGACTCGTACTCGTCGTGAACCCTGGAGGCAAATTTTGCTTCAAATGTGGTTCCAAAGTTGCAGGGATTTCACATCCGAGTGCAAGAATAAGTACATTCGAAGATGAGCGTGCTTCGTCCTCTTCATCTCTTCGTCCTCTTCCCTAGCTTACAAGCCCCCAGGGAGGAGGGGCGGGTGTGGGTTAATATATTTTGTCACGTTTCGCTAATGACACTGGAGTATGTTCATTATGTATGATTCGTGTTAACTGTAGAAGTACTTAAAGCGTGCTTGCAGGTATGATTAATCCCTAGGGG